CGTAAATATATATGAAAGTACACCAGGCCATCGTAAATATTTCTGATTACGTCCGCGCTTTTTAAAACATGCCCAGACCTTAGAAAATATATTTGATATGCCGGATTCCTTCTGAAAACACGTCTACCCATATGAAAAATACGTCCAAATCATCTGCAATATATCTTATAACGTTTGCACACCTATCTGAGTATCCTGCAATCGGTTCAGGCAGCTTCCATGTCAGCCCGAGTGACTTTTGCATTAGTCCGAGCACTATCTGCATCAGTCCAGGCAATATATGCATCAGTCTAGGTGCCATCTGCATTTGTTCGGGTGATTTTTGCATCAACCCGGGTGTTTTCTGCATCACTTTGGATGACTTCTACAACAGTTTAGGCATCATCTGCATTAGTCCAAGTGCCACTTGCATTTGTCTAGAAGCCTTCTGCATTTGTCTGGGTGCCTCTGCATAAGTTCAGACGCCTCATTTGCACTGTCAGAGCGCTCCTGCACATTATTTGTGCGTCTTCTGCTACCAATTCGGTGTCAATTGATTTAGGTGACCTGTCGAGTCCCGATCATGGACAGTGGATATTCGATTGCTGACAACATATATGATCGAGGCGAATAACGACTGTGACTCTCACGCATTTATCAACTTTGAACTCCATTCGTGCGTCGTCAAATTTTTTATTTTCTAATTTTAATTTTAATTTTAATTATGTGGGATAACATAGGCCCCCTCTTGTCATATGGATGAACTTGTTGAAGCCATGTAATAATAAAATTCTAGAAACTTGGAAGTCTAGACCTGCGAAGGCTTTTTTAGAATTTATCACAGGGTACGGTTTGACAATAGAAGAAGAATCATCGTCAAGCCATTGCTCGACCATGGCCTCGGTTTGGTACATAGCAATCCAAATCTCGGCTAAGGATATGAACTTAAAAGTGTCATCCAACCGTTCCTATGAGTTCTGGATTGCTACCAATATGTTAGCTTTTAGTTATTGGGGTCGGCCTCATCTCGGGCCGCACATATCATCCAAAATTCTTGATATGTAAACTGACAAAAATCCCAAGGCTTAGTTTTCATAGAGGTTGTGGTCACAACCGATTTTATATTATTTAAGTATAATGATATCAATTCATATGATTTGGTGTTGTATCCGAAGGATGTCGGATTTATGTTCCAAAATAATAATTGTTGGTGGAGAGTAGAGGAGACATAATGAGCAAAATCAATCCAATCCCTAACTTGATGAACGATGTTTCTAACATTTTATGACTTAGATTGTGGACCTGCATCCTTGTGTCCTTGATTGTAATCCGACCGATGCATCCAGATAGATATTTTGATCATCTTACCGAGCTATACATTTGGTCACAATATTTTCAGCTAACATATCAATCTTTGTTTCTGGAAACCATTGGTTGGTTCAATATCGAGAGAAGTCATCTGATGGGATTTTTACATTCTTGAAGACAAGGTCCAACCGTTAAGGTATTTTTGTGCGTCTTCCAAGGACCGTCTTGTTGGTTTGATGGTAGATTTGAATAATTAGTATCATTAATTTTAGAATTACCTTTTTCATGCTTATATGGTGACCGTCTTTGAGGTACTATATCATCCCAAATGGATACTTCCTCCGGTGAGATTGGTCGTGTTGTTATGGTGGTGATATGAACCTTACGGAAATGTTCATTATCTATTTTCATACCAGCAATTTTGAGATGTTTGTTCTTCAAAGATTTCTACATGGTCGTCTTAAAGTGAAAACAATTTATAGTGGCATGTCGAAATTAATTGTGCCATTTGCAATATATTTGGATTTTTCCGTCTTTCAGCAGTTCATAAAAAACTGCATCAACATGTGTAACATCAGGTAATCAATCCTTGTTTTGGATTTTGGATATGTCTTTACTTTTGGGGGGGGGGGGGGTTTAAGATTGGAGCAAGTGTAAGATTTGTCTAGTAAAAGCTCTACTACTGCCTCCTAAATAACATCTGGGAGTTCATACCCATCACCCATATCCTCGACATCAATCACTACAACTTGATGCTCAAAATATATGCTTTTTGTTTCATTCTCATGAAAAAGATGTTCCAAATGTGTGGCATTGCCTCTTAATTGTTCCAAATTCTGAACTTCATGAGCCGTAAGTCTATCTTGTAAACACGGAAACATATTCCTAATTGTGATGTTAGCGATCTTTGACTCACTAATGATCACCGGACATCGAGCCTTAGTCCGTCTGAGTTTTTTGATAAAGGGCGTGGCTGATTCTTCAATTTCCGATTTCGTTTCCATAAGATATGTGAGCGTAGTTTTCGGTATGGGGCTATAAAATTTATAATGAAATTGTCGTTCCATTTGAGCTTAATTTTGTATGGAGTCAGTACAGAGAGATGTGTTCCACTTAAACATAGTCTTGGTAAAAGTTAAAAGGGAATAATTGCAACTTATAAAATACAATAAGTGAAAATTCCTCAATAAGTATCATAAATCTGGCCACGTGTTCAACAGATGACTAGCCATCTTCTCCAGAGAACAATAAGGATTTTGGTATCCTGATTTGTCGCGGCAATGAATAATTACGTTCCACCCATTCCGGAAGAGGTTTTTGGTATACAAGATCATGTGGGCCATGACCTTGGTTACCCGAGTGTTGACACACAACATCCTGAATCATCCGAGCCACATCAGAATTAAATTTCCATGCTGGTTGTAATACAGATTAAGGATTCAATATTGGTCATGGTTCCAATACATTATTCGGCCTTGGAAACGCTGGTGGTACCTAGGCTTGATGAAAGTCAGGCGCTATCTCAAGAAAGGTCCCATATGGAGTAGTAGTTTTCTGTTTAAGAACATTATGCGTATGGCTCATCAATACGTGTACTTGGTTCACCATTGTACATATGTGCCAGAGCGTAATGGCTTTGGGTCTGTGCCATGCTTTGTGGCACGTTGTATGTCTGGGTGGTAATGACTTCTGTAAACAATGGTGCAGTCATTTGTGGCCAATGCTGGTCGTGATTTCCAAACTCGATCGAAGTAAACAACCGAAAATGATATGTTCCGACACCACCTTCGATTTGGCCAATGTTTGGTTGTAGCAAAAAAAATATGAATGGGTTGTTGGCATAGGTAACCAGGTTTGATGCTCCTTGGCAATTATATGGCGCTGACATCTCCAACCGAATCGGAGTGAATCCTTCTAGGACGGATATAAGAGGTGGTGGAAGACCTGATGATGTTGTGTGAACACCATTGGTCTTTTCTAAAGATGTCAGCATTTAAGAACGAGTCATCCAACAACGTATTAGTCTTCCTGATCATAATGTGATGAATTCAAAATAATTTTCCGTGAGGAAAAAATTATTGTTCCATTGGACATGCCAAAATGTTACCGTAGGTTGAAAATTTCCAACCAGATGATAAGCAAAGACTTCTTTTTGGAAGAATTAGAGTGATTAAATCCTTAATTCGTATCAAACGCAATGTCCGGACGTTTGATAGTAAAGAAATTAGGGAAGAAGAATATAGTGCAAAAAATTAAATAAATTGCAGAAAATAAAAGAAATATAAATTTGGATTGAGATGTTGGATCTGAGTTCTTACAATGATTAGAATACCTATTTATAGAATCTAAATATTGTCTTTCGAATCGACACGAGGTTCTACTCTATTGACAATGCGAAGAGATGCAACTCTTCGGTATAAGAAATAATTACAATTGAATTAATTGCACAAAATCCAGACGCTGTCAGATTTTTTTAGGCGAAATATATAAAAAAATAAATATATTTGTAATTTTAGAGGTTTAAAAATTGATATTCTAAAATTTATTCGCAGTTTGAGCGCATTTAGGTCAAATACCGTTAAATAAGGACCGCTGAGGGGGTTAGACGCAAAGTTTATGAAACCACGAGGGAGTTTGACGCAGTTTTAGAAGTACGAGGGATTTGGTGCAATTTCATGAAACCACGTGTGGATTTTGTGCAATTTAGCCTTAAAATTTTTAATTTTAAAAATCATTCAACTTCTTAAATTCAATTTGATAAAATAAATATAATATTTTAATCAGGTTGGGACGCGTCACGCCTGGACCCTTTAAAATATGTGTGAAAATACGCCCAAGCTTTCTGAAATATATCTGATAGCGCCTCACCTTCTGTAAAATTAATCTGACAGCTCTCGAACTATCTAAAATATATCTAGCAACGCCTTGCCTTTTGGAAAATAAATCTGACAGCGTCTGGACTATCTAAAATATATCTTGCAATGCCCCGTTTTCTAAAAAATAAATCTGACAGCACCCACACTATCTAAACTAAATCTTGCAGCGCCCCACCTTCTTAAAACGAGACCGAGCCTTCGTAAATATATTTGAAAATACGTCAGACCATCGTAAATATTTCTAATTACGCTTGCGTTTTTTAGAACACGCCCAGACCTTAGAAAATATATTTGAGATGTCATACTCCTGAAAACACGTCTGACCATCTGAAAAATATGCTCAAATCATCTGCAATATATCTGATAACATCTGTACACCTATCCGAGCATCCTGCAATCGGTACAGGCAGCTTCCGCATCAGCCCAGGTGATTTTCGCATTAGTCCAAGCACTAACTGCATCAATCCGGGCACCATCTGCATTAGTTCGTGCGCCATCTGCATTTATTCAGGTGATTTTTGTATCAGCCTGAGTGCCTTCTGCATCAATTTAGGTCACTTCTGCATAGTTCAGGCGCCATCTTCATTAGTCCAGGCGCCATCTGTATTTCTCCGGAAGCCTTCTACATTTATCTTGGCACCTCTGCATAAGTTCGGACACCTCATTCTCACTGTCAGAGTGCTCCTGCACATTATCTATGCACCTTCTACTACTAGTTCACCGACAATTGATTCAGGGGACCCGTTGAGTCCCGATCATGGATAGTCGATATTCTATTGCTGACAACATATATGATCCAGGTGAATGACGACTCAAGCTCTCAGGCGCCTATCGACTCTGAACTTCATTCGAGCGCTGTCAAATATTTTATTTTCTAATTTTAATTTTATCGGATAACAAAAATAAAGTTACAGTCCCCATGGAATTGACCCTGTTACCATTATTCTACAATTGATTAAGAAAAATAGGTGAATATTTGCCCGTTCACACATGTCAATCTAAATTTGAATCTGATGTGTCATATTGGCCTACGATACAATGAAATCTTTTGTATTATCTCTTCTTTGTCTTCTTATTTTTTTCACTTAAGTATTTTCTCTTATTTCATTTTCAACTTTTCAATTTTATGAGAACGAATAAAATGAATGTATTAGGGTAGTAAAAAGTCACATACATAATGATAATGTATTCCTCAATTGTTGTATATTTCTATTGACTTGTTATATTTAATATTTATTTTTTACTCATAGAGAAATAACTAAACATGTTCACATGTATTTCATCATGAGTAAAATAGCTAAATTTAATAAGTTATTAGAGTCTAAAAGTAAAAAAATCTTTAGATCTTATATTGAGAATTTATGTTTTGAGAATCTTCTATATGTTAGAAAAATAAAAATAAATAGTGAACAGTTACTTCAGTTAATGAGAATTTGGGACATTGAAAAAAAATATATATTTTGTTCTTTTAAATAAAACAAAATGGTATATTACTAAGAAAGATGTTTCTCGAATATATAAACTATCGTATAATTTTGATAAAAACCTTTAGTAATGTGTTCGAGCTATTGTTGTGACAACTTCTAAATTCAATCTGGACAAGAATATATATATTTTTTGAAGTAACCATTCAATTTACTTACATATACACATTTAAAATATTTAATATTATTACTCAATCGTAACTTTTTTACGGTCAAATATATTTTTTTCCAATAAATTATCACTTTAAATACCCTACATTTTATAATTTATAAAATTTTGAAAATTTATAAACGGAGCTATAATCTAAACAAAGCTTAATTTATAAAACAGGTTCCTACTGTCACGGACCGCCTGGTTGTTCCTCGAACACCTTCCGTGCGGCCTAGCAACTTCCCGACACTTAGAGGTTGCTAGTACAGCCTTTCTTCGGACACTTCCAAGAACACTCAAGAACACGATCAAGAACACTCGATAATCGTAGAGAGAGGAAGTAGTAAGGGAAAGTAGATGTTATTGCTCTCAACTTGATGATTTACAAATGACCACTACCACATATTTATACTAGTTCATAATCTCCTAACTACCATCTACCAACCCCCACCAACCATCTCCTACCAACTATCCACCAACTCCCACCAACTCCCACCAACCATCTTTCACCAACTATCTACCAACCATCTTTTACCAATCATCTTTTACCAACCCTCACCAACCATCTCCCACCAACTATCTACCAACCCCCAACTACTCCATACAAGTTCTAGTTTTATTTACAAAGTATCGGACTAGCCTCCGGGTTTTGGCTTCTTCTCTCGGTCATCTTCGGTCACGGATTTTGGTCCGTGACATTCTCCCCCACTTGATGAAGGCATTGTCCTCAATGCCTCGAATTCATGTACCAAGTCTTTGAATTGCCAATGTTTCTCATCCGGTTTCCATCTCGTCTCAGTCTCGGGCAAGTCTCTCCATTTCACCAAGTATTCCGTCGAGGGCGGATATTTCTTGCGGCACCTTAGTCGATCCATCAATATTCCCTCGGCTATTTCGTCATACGTTGTCTGCATCCCGGGTGGTGCTCTTGTCGATATATTCCGATCTGGGTCCCGATCTTTCGTATAGTCAGGCTCAAGAATATCAACATAGAATACCGGGTGGAGTTGGGACAAGCCCTCGGGTAGCTCCACCTTGTATTTTACCTTGCCTCCTTTCTTCATGATCGGGAACGGGCCTTCATATCGTCTCGTTGATCCTTTGTGCACTTCTCGTATACGCCCATATTGATAGAATCGTACCAACTGTAAGTCTCTCTCTTTGGATCTTTGAAACCCACGTTTTCGGTCCCTCTTCTTGCATCTTTGGGATCTCTCTGAATATAGTCGCATCACCTTTACCCGACTCGGCCAACCCTTGGCAAAGTGGAACAACCATGGACTCGGTTCTTTGTACGTACTCACCAAGTCTTTCGAAGTCATTGGTTGGAAACCGGGCATGATCTCGAATGGGTTCTTCTCGGTACTCTCGTCTTTCTCCATAGTTGACTTGGGCGCCTCCCATTCTATGACCGTCTTGACCTTCCCAGACTCCACTTGAATTCTTCCATCGGCCACGATGTATCCTGAGATTCCGACCTCGTCTATCTCAAACCCTCTCCGGACATAGAGTTGATTTTCTTGTATAACTCGCAACCCATTCCGCAAGTGTCCAACATGGTCTACTACACTCCATCTCGTAGTGATTTCCGTCTTTAATTCATCGCCTTCTCGAATTGTCACCTTGTTCTGCATCCCGTGGTTATTACACTTGAGGAGACTCTTATCCTTCTCCAGTTGAAAGGACACTGGTGTACCTAAAGAGCTCTTTGACGGGACAATGAACTTTGCTTCCAAAGGTTTCCCAATTTGTTTCTCCAACTCGATTGTTTCGTCGAGCAACGCTTGCTGTGGTAGTCGAGATACTCGTTTTGCACTTTCCACCAAGTCGATGGCGGGGTCAACCGCTTGTCGAGGTGGTAACCCCTTCGGTAACACCTTTGGCATCACATCCTTGAATTCCTTCGGTGGTGTAATGGCCTCCTCGACCTCGTAACCAATGAGGTCCTCGTTGCTAAAAATAGCCGCAAACGTTGGGTCTTCTTTCCTCAATCCTCTTTCGAGTTGCTTTGGCGTCAACTCCTCCTCCCGGTAAACGGTGATATCGCATGGCATGCTTCCATCCATAATAGTGTATTTGTCCTTGTGCGGAATCATTGCTAACTTGGTTTGCTCGACAAATCTCATGCCAAAGAACACCAAATAATCGTCAATAGGGGCAACATTGAAATTAGCCATACCTTTCCAATCTCCGACTTGAATTGGTACGTCCTTTGCCACTCCCGTTAAAGGTGTCCATGCACTATTTACTCCCTTGAATCGACCCTCCGTTGACACCCATTGCAACCCCAACTCGTGAGCTATTTCTTTGCTCATGTAATTCGCATTCGCCCCCGGGTCGAGTAAACACAAGTACGAGCGCCCATTGATGTCGACATTCATGTACATCCGTCCTCGATGTTTTTCGCCATCACCCTCTGCTTTCATGCACGCCACTCGTTCTTCTATTGGGTTAGTGTCCTCGGTTACCGCGGCAATATTTGATCGGTTCGGACAATCTCTTGCAAAATGTTCTTTTGATTGACAAACAAAACAACCCTCATACCTCGATCCCGGTTTGAAGAAATCTCTCATTGCAGCCCTAGGTGTTTGACGTTCTCTTTCCAGTTGTGGGGCGAATCTTAGGGCATCTCCCCCACTTTTGTCCGGCCGTGGGGCGGGTCTCGACGTATCTCCCCCACTTTTGTCCGATGTCATTCTCCACCCATCGTCTCTCCTGTATGGTTCCCTCTGTTGAAATTCAATCAATCGTGAAGCATATTTCATTGCTTCATTCACAGTTTCCGGGCACTTATCCACAACCCGCTCCTTGGCCCACGGCCTCAATCCTTCGGTAAACCCGAATAATGCTTCTTCTAGCGTCATCGATGGGATTTCGAGTAGTAAGTTGGCATATTCATCAATGTACTCTCTTAAATTTCCTTCCCGATGTGTCAACCAACGGATCTTGGCCCTCGCCTCGGTCTCGGCCCTCATTGGTTCGAATTCCGCCTTGAGTTCGGACTTAAACATTGCCCACGTCGTGATCGCCTCACCATTTTGGGCTAATTCACTCCTACGTCTCCACCAAATTAGTGCCGAGTCCTTCAAGAAACACGAACCCGTATGCACCTTGGCCGCATCTCCCACGACCCCTACCGCATTAAAATAACGTTCCATGTCGAAAATAAACGTATCAATTACCCGGCCTCTCCGAACTCCTGAGTAGTACTCCGGACGTGGCACCTCCACTCTAGGTGCAGCCGCTACTCCTCCGGCCAGGCCACGAGCTTGCAATTCCGCAATTGCCGCTCTAAGTGTTGCAAGCTCCTCTTGCATCACGGACGGCTCCACCATAGCCGCCTTTTCTCGTCGGGCCAACTCGAGGCGACACACTGCCACCTCCTCCTTGAGCTTGGCCATCTCGGCACCAAGTGACCTCGTCACTTCCTTCGTCCCATCGCGACACTGTTCCAGTCCCTCCACGAGAGACTTCGTCAAATCCTCACGCATCTCCTTCTCGACCTCATCGAGACGTTGATCGACCTCATTGATCCTTTCAGAATTCCTACCGAGGAAATCTTCCACACGCTCCAGTCTTGCATCAAAAGCGCTTATGACATCCACAGAAGGACAACGTTTGCACTTTCGGTGGTGCTTCCCTTCATTGACACCATCGTTGTTACCCTCGTTCATATTCGTCAAGTTGGACCCTTCACCAGTCATCCCTCACTGACTTCGGTTCGAACGAGGCTCTGATACCACTTGTCACGGACCGCCTGGTTGTTCCTCGAACACCTTCCGTGTGGCCTAGCAACTTCCCGACACTTAGAGGTTGCTAGTACAGCCTTTCTTCGGACACTTCCAAGAACACTCAAGAACACGATCAAGAACACTCGATAATCGTAGAGAGAGGAAGTAGTAAGGGAAAGTAGATGTTATTGCTCTCAACTTGATGATTTACAAATGACCACTACCACATATTTATACTAGTTCATAATCTCCTAACTACCATCTACCAACCCCCACCAACCATCTCCTACCAACTATCCACCAACTCCCACCAACTCCCACCAACCATCTTTCACCAACTATCTACCAACCATCTTTTACCAATCATCTTTTACCAACCCTCACCAACCATCTCCCACCAACTATCTACCAACCCCCAACTACTCCATACAAGTTCTAGTTTTATTTACAAAGTATCGGACTAGCCTCCGGGTTTTGGCTTCTTCTCTCGGTCATCTTCGGTCACGGATTTTGATCCGTGACACTACTCAAGCCCACAGACACACCGCCAAAGTTATACCCAAAATTTGGGCTTTTCCCCTGCAGCAACCACAGCCACAACCCCACTAAAATATCTTGAAAATTACCTAAAACAGCAAAACTACCAACACAGAGATCAGTAATGGCGATTCTTCCGGGAATCCCAGGTCCAAACCTCTTTTCATCTCTGCCCTCTACACCCCCTCCTTCCAACAACCCCGATTCCTCTCCTCCTCCTAAACCCCCAATACCCATTCCCCGATACCCACCCCCTGTGAAAACCAGACAGCATCCTTATCCTCAACAATCACCCCCCAACCGGGCATTCAAAACCCATCACCGTAATTCCAAGTTCTTCAAGCCCGTCAAGCCAGGCCAGAAAATCCCCGCACCCGATGGAGAAAACCGGGCCGTTGTTATCGGGAATTCCGGCATTTCGTATCAATTACCGGGAGCCCCATTTGAGTTCATGTACAGTTACTCCGAGACGCCGAAGGCTGAGCCGATAGCGATGCGGGAGCCCGCATTCTTGCCTTTCGCCCCGCCGTCTATGCCGCGGCCATGGACGGGAAAAGCCCCAATGAAGAAGAGTAAAAGGAAAATTAAGCTATTTGAACCGTTGGGGAATGGCGATGACGAGAACGAGAGTATGGCCGGAAGGAGGTTAGAAATGTTGAGGGGTTATGAGTTGGGAAAGTTCAATGTAAGACCCCGGGAGGAAGTATTAGGCGAGCCTTTAACCAAATGGGAGATTAAGGATATGTTGAAGCCATATTTGTCCAGCAACAGACAGGTGAATTTAGGTAGGTTTGTTTGTTTATTGCTTCCTGGGACATCGTGGAGTTTATGTTCTTCATTGCTGTTCTTTGGCATTGCTTGATGATGGTTTGACATTGCTACTTGATGTTTAAGCTTCATTTCTGTATTTTCAAGCTGTAAGCTTCCAATTTATTTTCCAGATTTTGTATCACAATGTTGAGGGATGGTTTGAAAGGTTTATATCGTATTTGGGTTTTGATCTGCTCCTTTTTGGATGATTAGGATGAATTTTTATTGCTACTTTGTTGTCCAACTTGTGTGAGGGTTCATTGGATTGTGTAGGTAGAGATGGATTGACTCATAATATGTTGGAGTTGATGCATACGCATTGGAGGAGACAACCAGTTTGTAAGGTTCGTTGTTTGGGCGTTCCAACTGTTGATATGGCCAACGTATGCCGGTGCCTTGAGGTTGTTGCATTGGCATTGCATTTTACTAATTTTTATTTTCAAGCTTCATAAAGTTCAATTTTCCATTCTTGATTTACCGGCAGTTTCATGTCCTACTTATAGGAAAAATCGGGTGGAAAGATTATACATAGGGTAGGTGGAGTGGTGTATCTGTTCCGCGGTAGAAACTATGATCATCGCAGACGGCCTCAATTACCTGTGATGCTGTGGAAGCCAGCTGCGCCCGTGTATCCGAAGCTGATACAAGACGCCCCTGAAGGATTGACGAAAGAAGAAGCTGATGAGTTGCGAATCAAAGGAAAAACCCTGCTGCCGATATGTAAATTAGGTAATTTTTGCTTAATGAATAGCTGCTACATCCATAACTCCAGCTCACTAGTTATCCCCCGTCTCCTGCAATAGCGAAAAATGGGGTGTATATTACCCTTGTGAGGGATGTCCGAAGTGCGTTTGAAGGATCTATTCTGGTGAAGATTGACTGCCGGGGATTGCATCCCAGTGATTACAAGAAGATAGGAGCTAAGCTCAAGGTTTGTCTTATTTATTCCTTCCCTTGCAAAGAGAAGATCGAATGCGTAATAAAAGCCCTGCTGAGCTGTTTGCTATCAATCTCCTACGACAGGAATTGGTGCCGTGTGTGTTGTTATCTTTTGACAACGAACAAATTCTGATGTGGAGAGGGAAAGAATGGAAATCTACATATGGAGCACGTGGGATGCACATTTCTTCCAATGTTGCCGCCATTGCAGGTATCCTTAGTATTCCAGGAGCTGGTTTTATCATTCTATCGTTAACTCATTTGGAGTAATCACTTGGACTGCAAAGCAGATGCGAAGCCATCAGTGGCAAGTCCGAAAATGATGTCCCTGTGGAGGCGAGCTGTTGATTCAGGAAAGGCATCGGTCCTGGACAGTGGCGATCTGAATCTCAGCCCTGATGAGCTTTTATGGAGAGTAGAGGAATTCGAAAGCAAGTCTCAGGCACTGGTGCACTCTTATCCTGCCGTAATCTATGGTAATGGAGAGACTTCTGTGAGAACAAACGATTCAGAGGAAGAAGATGGTAATGATGGCAACGACCCTTTTGATCTTGTGGATTCATCGGCTCCCCCTCCTCCGGGTTCTCTGCCCATTGACATGATAACTAAGGACCTCCGTGACGATGGGCTTTAGATACATAATTAATGTGCATGTATATTAGTTATATACTAATACTGATTAGTTAAGTAGCCACGTATTGTGTGGCTCTCTCTGTCTGTATTGTTCTTTGATATTAACATAATCATGCTACTACATTGGACGCATGTCCTTTGGTTAAAGATAGAGGGAAAATTGTGTCAAGATATTGTTTGGCATGGTTTTTGAGTATTTTTATGTTTCTTGAGAGGCTTTTTGTGTGATTTTCGATGAGAGTGGTGTAATACCATCAGCAACGGAGATACCCGTTTTTGGGTATTTTCACTATTTTTTATTAACCATATCATTTTCTCTCTCTACAGAGTTGGAGATACTCTCTTTTATTTTATATTCGCAACAAAGATACTCATCCTAATTTTTTAATAAATTTTTATTTTCATATTATATATATATTATTTTTTTATTTTTAGTATTAATTATTTATTTAGTTATTATAGTATATTATATTATATTATTATTTGTCAATATTTTGATTTATTAGAAAAATTATGGGAAAAGTTATATTATTTATTATTTAATTAAATTTAGTTTTAATTTATTTTTAAATTTTAATTTCAATATCAAATTTGTATTTTTATTGTTATAATTATTATTGTTTAATTAAAAAAATAAAATATAAAAATAATAAATAAATTTTTTGAAGAAAACATTACATTATATTACATTACATTGCAATTACAATAGAAATATTTAAAATTAAAATAAGAACAAATAACTTAATTATTCATCGAATCAAATTAATGCCTCATATTTTCAATCAAATCTGCTTTGAGTTGTTGATGTGCTCCTCTGTCTCGAAGTCATATTCTATTTTTTAGAAACTCAATCATTCCAGCATGCCTATATGCAGAATATGTCTGACTTGAACCACTTAAATTCTCGGTCTCCATTTGTTCGAATTGGGATATATCATAATAATGTAGACATGTATCTCTTCCATCTTCAACTATCATATTATGCAAAATGATGCATGTCTTCATTATCTTACCAATCAAATCAATATTCCAAACAAGTGACGGACGTAGAATAATAGCGAATCGAGCTTGCAAAACACCGAAAGCACGTTCTACATCCTTTCGAGTAGCTTCTTGACGTTATGCAAATAATTGCATCTTAGGTCCTTGAGACAGACGAATAGATTGGATAAATGTCGCATATAGAGGATATATTACATCCGTAAGATAATACCCCATATTATATTGGTGATTATTGACAATAAAACTTACTTCTAGACTTCTACCATTCAACATGTCACTAAAAATCGGAGATTGATCAAGTACATTAATATCATTGCATGTACCTGGTGCTCTGAAAAAGGAATGTCTAATCCATAGATTATACGATGTCACGGCTTCTAATACGATAGTTGGTTTGCCATGATCTGGTTTCTGTGCAGAATTAACACAACCGTTATTCAATTAATAATCATTGTACTCGAATTTTTGCACTACTTAATACAAAATTGACATTTATTAAAAATTACACAATAAATATTTAATAAAATAAAATATAGTTGTTAAGCGATAAAAAAACCAATACATAAGGTTTTTGAGAATGGGCCTATAAATTGAACTAATGTATAGTCCAATGGGCCTGATAATCGTGGTAGGGTCCTAAATAGGTTCGGATTGAGAGAAATTCATTCCTGGAAAACCACGTTCTTCTGCAACATACAACAATCGTTGTAGGTCTGTTGCATTTGGCCTTCTTAAATATTTCTCACCAAATATTGAAATGACTCTTTCAACAAACTTTTTTACACACGTTCTTGTTTTACTCTCTCCAATACGAATATACTCATCTACAACATCAGCAGCTACACCAAAAGCCAACACACGCAAAGCAACCGTGCATTTTTGTAATGGCGATAAACCAAGCCTTCCCGTTGCATTTCGACGTTGTTGGAAGAACTCATTTTCTGTTGTTAGACGATCTACAATGCGCATAAAGACATGCCTCCTCATTCGAAATTTACGACGAAATTGAAAATCTGTATAGACAGGATTTTCAGAAAAATAATCGTTGAACAAACGATTGTGACCTTCTTCACGATTTTTCTCAATGTATGTTCTTCGGCGTGATTGATTTTCCTCTTCTTGGTTAGTGATGACATCTTGAATACGTTGAAATTGCATCCACAAATTGAAAGAAATCACATCCTCCTCATCGGAGTCTAAACTCGAAATTGTTTGAGATGAATTTGACATTTTTTTGTAACAAAGTTGTTTGTTACAAATATTTTTTGAAGTGAAGTGTAGTGTAGAGTTTTTGCCAACATAGGGTATTTATAGTTTACATTAAATAGTACTAATAATAATAGTAATATTTAAAAGTATGTAAATAAATAGAACAATAATAAAGTAATTCAAAATAAATTTGATGACATATAACAATAGTGATGTGATATAATAATACTAGTGTGTTTAAAGTTATATAGTACAAATTATGATGTGAAATGATAATAATAATAATACTCCCTCCGTCCATTTACAAGGGTTACATTTACTTTTGGCGCGGTGTTTAAGAAATAATAATATTTTAATTATAGTGAGTAGTTAAAAGTAGTGTAATGACATTTTTGCCCTTACTTTTTTGTGTAAAAGTAATGATGTAATATAAAGTAAGGGTATTTGTGGAAAAAAGTAGAGTATTTAATGAAATGTAAACTTTGTAATTGGACGTCCCAAAATAGAAACATGTAAACTTTGTAAGCGGACGGAGGGAGTAATATATTTAAAAATATGTAAATAAATAGTACAATAATAAAATAATTGAAAATAAATTTGATGACACATGATAATAATGATATGATATAACAATGCAAGTGTGTTTAAATCTACATAGTACAATAATAACTAATGATGTGATATAACAATGTAAGTGTGTTTAAAGCTATCTAGTACAATAATAAACTATGATATGATCTAACAATGCAAGTGTTTTCAAAGCTAAATAGTACAATAATAAACAATAATGTGATATAACAATGCAAGTGTGTTTAAAGCTATCTAGTACAATAATAAATTATGATGTGATCTAACAATAAAATTAATAAAGCTCAACATGACAAAACTTGAAATGATTGATCACTACTACAATGATAAAAATAAATATTGTGATGTGATATAACAATGCATTTTAAAAAATTAAACAAGCCAAAAATAAATTGATTTGATTTAACAAGACATAATATATGTAAATAATATATAAATTATAGAGTGTCTAAGTTTTTCTATAAATATGTTTGCATTTTACAAAAGAAAACACACAAACTTTCATTAAAGATCTTTATATTTTCTCCCACTACTCTACATTCAAGTTTTAACAATGGAGCAAAACTCTCAAAAAATTTTCAATTCTCAAAAGTCTTTTTCATTTCAAAGTTTTACGAACATACTTGGAAAACAAAACTCTTTCAATCCTAATGTTACTCAAAATTTTCAAACATCTGTCCCAAATTTCTACGCTTCATAATATTCTTTTATTCCTCCACATTACTATTATCCTCAAAATTTTCAACCTTTTTATAGGTTCATCATATCCTCAAAATTTTCAATCATCTGGAGGTTCTTTTAATCCTCAAAATTTCCAATCATTTCAAGGTCCATTTCATCCCCCATCGATGAGTTTTACGCAAAAATATACAAATGGAAAGTATTCCTGAATTTTGTACACAAGCCAATCAACAAGATGAAGATGACGTACAAATCATTGCTCCAACGACAGAGACGAAAAGAAAGTGGACTTATGAAGAAGATTTGCTTCTTATTAGTGGATGGCTTAACACATGCAAAGATGCACTAATAGGCACTGATAAAGAAGGTACTACTTTTTGGAAAAAAATTTTTCAATATTTTAATGATAACAAATTGAAGCAGGGGTGTCAAGTGTAAATCAACAAATATATTTTAATAAAGTCGTTTCAAAATTTGTTGGGTGCTTTCAACAAGCTAACCAACAAATAATGAACGGAGAATCTTTTGATGATGTCTTGAATAAGGCACATCAAATATATTCTGCAGATTGTAAGAAAGCATTTATTTATGAACACGCTTGGCGTGAATTAAAACTTGAGCCAAAATGGAAGTTTATCGAACTCTAGTGGAGAAAGATAATTTGACGGAGTAGGATCTACTTGTTATGGCTAAATTGTTCGAAGAATTATTTTAAATATTGTTTAAATTATATGTATTTTGTTCTATGTTATTCAAATTATTTTGTCTTTTATTTTATATTATTATCTTATTATTAATTATGTGTGTATAATTAATTATAAACTAAATATATTTATTATTTAATATAATTTTATATTATTTAATTGCTTTAAAATTTATAATTATATTTTATTTAATAATTAAATTAAATTTATTAATATTGATTTGTTCAATAGAATTATACAATATTTGTATTTATATATTTTAAAATTTAAATTGATAAAATATATTCAATATTGGTATGATTTTATAGAATACAAAATATTATGAATTATAAAAATATTACAAAATTTAAATATAACAATAAATTCAATATAAATTACAAAAACAAAACATATATAATATATACCATATATATATATACATAAGTGTCATATGTCCCAATTGAATTGGGACACATGGCAATTGGACAACATCTTCAGAGATGTTGCGAAGCAAAATGTCTTATCATTTTTTAAAAAAAAAAAAAAAAAATTGGTGATGCGCCCGATGCGGATGACCTAAGGATTTTATGTGTTTATTTTGAGAAGAACACCCATAAGAGGAAAGCTCATAGTCCCTATATTACTTTGGTGAGTTCTTGGCTTTTTTTTGGGAGAAAGATTACTTGTTTTCGACTGCCGTGTCATCGTCTAGGTGACATGGAGATAATATGGTGAAATGGTAACTTGCACATTATAGTTTCTAATGTTTAATTATATATTATAAAATTATAAGATCAAATCACTAAAATTGAATTAAATTTCAAATAAAATAACAAAATACTAAACATAATCATCTCACATCAAATACCAATACGTTAAAATATTAAAAAAAAAGAAAAACATATTTCACGCCAATCATCAGTGTACATATCATCTCCATCCGTTTCTTTATCCTGAACTACCAAACCTTTGTTAGAAGGGCTACGATGAGGGTCATATACAATGAGC